TACAAATCGATAACTGAACCCGTATTTCCAAACTACGATCATTTAGAAGTTCCGCCGCTACTCGATAGATGGAAATATGAGTATCAGACAGAACATATTAAACAGATATTTAAAACTTAAAACAAGATTTGCGGAAAACTATAGAAGAACTATATCTAATGTTACCACATAACCGTTAATGAAGCCAAAAGAAAAGAGGTACTGGGTACTGGAAGAAGGTTTGATAAGGTAAGTAAGTCCATAAATATAGTTTAAGATTGATGAACTTATTAATTTCAGGGGTATGATACAGGGCGTTGAGTGCACGTTAGCCAAATTAAGATCAAAAAAATAATTAACAGATACGTGTAAAACTATCATGTGTAATGGTTATGTGAATAAATATGAATTAATTGTTATCTTTGTGTTATTATTTTGGTTTAATTAGGTTTTAGCTGTTACTGTGGAAATATAACGTTACAATATGGCAATATAGCTCATTAGTTTATGAGTTTGAATGTACATGTATATTTTATATTGCAGCGAAACAATAGTATTAGAGCAATGGTTTGTAAATTAATCATACAATAAACTGTAACTTTCTGTAATGCTATTTTATCAATAAAAAATAGACTCTATTTATTTTACACTGTTATAAAATGTTATGGATAGTTTCCTTTTTCAATAAAGTTAAAATAATTTCAACGAAAATGAGATAATAAATTAATTCATAAACCATTACCATGTGTTACTTAAATATACAAAAATGAGAGTTTAAAAAACGTACTAGACAAAAGTTATTGCCTTTGATGAGTTAAATAAGTGATTAAAATTTTGGCGTTATTTCTGGGACGCTCTATATTAAATTAAATTAAATTAGTTAATATCCTGATGAATATTAAATCCAAAATACACACAAATCTACCACGGTGCCGTAAGAAGTAGATAATGCCAGTTGTTATTTATTTTAGTTTTGATTTTCTTTATATTTGATAATGATGGTCAGATTTTCGTCTGCAGACTACTTTTTGTATATATCATTATACTTCTATGAAAAAGCCTATTTTCCACAATGCTACGTGAAATTCTGATAGAAAAAATGAATGGATTGATGTACTCCTGAACCTTAACTGTAATAGACAGTATTTTGCAATACAATGCAACAACAAATTAAAACAAAGTCTACTTTATCTTCGTTCTTAATTTAAAGTTCTAACAGTACTCTTATATCTTAGAAAATCTTAACTTTGCTATTTATTACATGTTATTAAACAGTAAATCGTTTCTACTTCCACATCAATTCCCTTTAAGAAATTAAAATATTGTTGTTTTTATTAGCCAAAATAAAGAATATTCATGAAGTACGTAATTTAAAATACACTGGAATTATTAGTTAAAATTGTTGTTTATTACATAACTTTTTACAAATTGTAAATTGTATATAAACAAATATACGACAAAGTTCTGTTTAATCTAACAGTAGATATGTATAAAAATAGCCATCATGTTAATGAAAAGTAGAATTTCATTAATTTCATTGTTTACCAGAAACAACATGGAAACTTTACAAACAAAAAAAGGTGCTGACCTTCCTAATTTACCTTTATTTGATTCTATTTGAATATGTTCAAAGAAATATTCCTTACTCTATAATAAAAGTTTTTAATAAATTTTCTGGCGCATTTTAACTCTCAAAAGTCTAAACATTAAATTGAAAGTATTACTGATAGAAAGATCCTTTATGAAAGAAATTATGTTTAAAATATATTTTAATATTTATTTCTACCATCAGTTTAGGAAATTGTTTCTTGGGTCACTTTAGGCCAAAAAGGCAGTATGAACAAACGATCTAAAGCTGTTTGAATATATACATATACATATATAAAAACAGTGATGTATTTGGGATTGTAGTCCCTAGTATAATAAGAACAGTGTGTTTAATTGTCAAGCTTTCGGAAATGTTTATTTCCTTTCTCAAGACATATAACCTGAGATTATAGTCACATTATTTAAAAACAATTTTCAAGTCAATTTACAACATTTAACAAAAAATACCCTGAAAAAGAGCCATGCCTATGAAATGTGAACAATTGCTCTTAAAACCCCGTTTTGAAAAAAAAAAATGAGTTCACATTTCATACGCATAGCTCCTCTTCATTGTATTTTTCGTTAAATGTTGTAAATTGACTTGATAATTGTTTTTAAATTATGTGACTATAATTATAATTGTTTTTAATTTAGTTAATGTACGAAAATGTTAACAATTGCGCTTATATCTCTCGTTTTTGATGTTTTTTTTATTATTTAATCTCAGGTTATATGTCTTGAGAAAGGGAAATAAACATTTCCGAAAGCTTGACAACAAACTCAGAGTGTTGTTATTATACTAGTCCTTAGCACTGTTGACTGCAATCACAAATATGTCACTGGTTTTTTCTTAACTAGTCAGTCAATATAATTATATACAGGGTCGGAAAGTCCCCATGGTTCATCGGCCGTTACGTGAGAGCTATAAAGAAAGTCATAGAAATCCGTGCGAAAGATGGCTATAATGAAAGCGTCTAATAGTCACCGCCCATTTCGCCCTTCCACAAATAAGAAATGGATCTTATACAGATTTTCCGGCAAGAAGAAAGTGCCTATGAGGTGGTCTGCCAGTATACCCTCTCAAACATTCAATATCCTCGGATGCTGCGTATGAGTTTCATGAAAATTGCGTGAATTTTCATCGCTTCAGTAGCGACAATTATGGCGGTTGACTCGACCATCCTGTTGGAATGTACATTTATCGGAAAAACAAATTGAGTACAAAAAATTTGGATTCCTTCGAGCACGATCACTCATTTCTTCACAGAATTGCAAGCGTAGATCACGATTGTCTACATTAATTTCTTATTCTTGTTATTAATTTGATTCCATTGCGCTGTGGCCCAGGACAGCTACCTGATTAACCTCATTATGTACGACCTGTTCACGTTGATGCTTTCTGTTTGCAACCGACCCAGTTTCCGAAAATTTATGCACTAAATCCAGGACGTACCGACGCGAAGTAATTTTGTCAGGATGACGATCATTTAAAATCTGTCATTATTCTTGCAAAACAAACTAATTATTTCCACTTTTTCAGGAATTGTGTACACGATTTTCACGAATTGGAATTCAATCTACTTTGTGCTGATTTTACTGGATATTGTATCGACAAAACAACACGAGATAATATTGTTTTGTTTAAAGTAAAACAAGTAAAAAAGTTGAACTGATAGAGTCTGAAGTTTTTGTATTGACAGATAAAAGAAAAATCAAAAAAATGTTTTTATCGAAAAATTGTTGAAGAATGTCGTCAGATAACGCCCGAAATGCTTCGAAATGTTCATTCAGAAGTGGAGCAAAGACTTTATTATTGTATGGAAGCGGAGGGGAACCAATTTGAACACTTAATAAAATAACATTCTTTTTTATTACTCATGACGGATATGTCCTACATTTTTGCATGTTTTTTAGGTCGGTAACTAGCTGTTTGCCCACTCTATTTATTTGCGTGCGGTAATCTTAGTTGTCGCACGCGAATTACCAATAAAACACGCAAAATTTAAATACCTACACACTCGAAATAGTATATTGTGCAATAAGTGCGGTAAGTTGTCTATTGCCCACGAGAGGGGAGTTGAGCGCACGAACGAAGTGAGTGCGCTTATTCGCTCAAGTGAGCAATAGACAACCGCACGAATTGCACATACTATTTTTTATTACGAATGCAAGGAAATCTTACAGCGCAGGGGCGAAGCCCCGGCGGGGTCCACATATTTTTATTCAGTTTAAGTTGACATAAATAACTGTCATTTAAATGTCACTTTTTAAAACTAATATTTTCGAGTGTGTAAGTATTTAAATTTTGCGTGTTTTATTGGCAATTCGCGTGCGACAAGTAATATTACCGCACGTAAATAAATAGAGTGGGCAAACAGCTAGTTACCGACCTAAAAAACATGCAAAAATGTAAGACATATCCGTCATGAGTAATAAAAAATAATGTTATTTTATTAAGTGTTCAAATTGGTTCCCCTCCGCTTCCATACAATAATAAAGTCTTTGCTCCACTTCTGTCCACTGACATTTAAATGACATTTATTTATGTCAACTTAAACTGAATAAAAATATGCGGATCCCACCGGGGCTTCGCCCATGGACTATAAGATTTCATTGCATTCGTAATAAAAAATAATACCTATGTGCCATTCGTGCGGTTGTCCATTGCCTATAGCACAATATATTTAATATTCTTTAAGTGATGATTTTATTGTCATATCCATTTTCCAGGTGGGCAGTTTTAATTGGAACACCTTGTATAATTAACTACCTTTATGTGCGTACAATAAAATACTGATCGCGTTGTAATCGGATGGTTTATAAGAATTTTCAATGTGTTTATACAGGGTCGGAAAGTCCCCATGGTTCATTGCCCGTTACGTGAGAGCGATAAAGTAAGTCATAGAAATCCGTACGATAGAGAAAGATGGCTATAATGAAGGCGTCTAATAGTCACCGCCCATTTCGCCCTTCCACAAATAGGAAGGGACTTTCCGACCCTGTATATTAAAAAAACATCAGCCGCCATTAAAACTGTATCGTCGTTATTTGAATCAGTAATTCAGAAATTCGGGAAAGTGGAACAACATAATTTTAAAATACATCTAGTTTTTTACCCCTCGTGAACCTTTATGTGATTTTTTGTATCTACGGCGCCTTAAACGTAGATAACGTAAAATATTCATATATAATAACTTCATTCATTCAAATTATTAGTCATTATCGCATAGGACAGATTTTTTTATTTATTCTGATTATAGTTAATTATAATAAAATGAAAACATGTTTTTTAACATTGGATTAACTAAAAATAATTCTGACTGTCAATATATTAAAAGCAGAAAAGACAATTATAAATTTTACTGAATCTTGTTAGGTAACATTTGCAAAAGGTATATAAATAAATTTAAGATGTTGTAATCCTCACTGTTTTATCCAGAATTTTACAATGTCGTTCATGAAATCATTTCTGCTTCTTACAATTGTTGTAACAATTGCATCGGCTGATGATGAAGTTACATCTACAGCAGCAGTAATAGTGTCACAAGAAAATACCATAGACGCAAAAGGAAATTTCCACTGGAGTTTTGAATCGTCAGATGGAAGTAAATCACAGCAGGAAGGAGAATTAAAAAGTGAAGGAGACACTACAGAAGAAGTAATAAGTGGTTCATTTGAATATCCTGGAGAGGGTGGTAATGTATATAAAGTGAGCTATACAGCCGACTCGAGAGGATTTCGGCCACAAGGGGAACATATACCATCAGTGCCCCCACTAATTCAAAGGTCACTGGATCTTTTGGCTACCCTCCCAGTCACAACAGAAAGTCCGGCATCTAAATAATTGTTATGAACTGTTGTATTGTCGAATGTTTCAAATGATTTGTTAGAAATATTAATTATAATGTAAATATATAGTTAGTACCTACGTACTTCTAAATTTATTGTTCCCTCAAGTAATTATTAAACATTTTTTCCTTGTTTAATTAGTAGTATTTTGCCACCTTCAAAGAATCAATTAATTTAACAAACTCATACAAAAATAGACTAGTGTACACATTTTGATTTAATTGGGCATTTCTACCACACTAAAAATCAAATAATTCCTTAAAAATACTAAGTCCAGTATTTATTTTGCGGAACAGTAATAAATATGTTTAAAATCATTCCCTGAATTTTGATAACGAGGTAAGAAATAACAGAATAAATGTTATACCTATTCTCATATGAGAAGTAGATAAACAAAACAAAAAAACTGTCACATTTGACTTTAATCATTTTAAACGTTAACTTTGTTATGTATAGTAGAGCTTAACGTGTAGTCTAGACAAATTAATTATCAACTTTCTCAGTGTGAGATATTTCTTGTTAAGTAGGACGAAGTTTATAAAATTAACCAAATCTTTACAACATAGAAGAACTTGCAATTATATTAAATTAGCTCACAAATTATTTAACTATTATTTTTATTTTCCTTACGTGTCCCAAATTATCGAACTAATTATGGTTATTATAATCCCATAAATAACATTGTTATGTTAGTTGTGTGAATAGTCTTCCTTATGACTGATATTTTTACAGCTTCATGGGTTCAGTTATTGCACTTAATTTGTAATAAGACTTAGCTAATTTTATTGTTGTTATGTAAGTGTATTTTGTAATGTGACATATATGCTTAATTTGTTTTATATCTTTGCACTTCAATCAATTTTTCTTTTTTTATTGTCTTTTGAAAGTATATCACCACTAGTAATTATATGTAAATCACTTTGATTGTATCAATTGGGTTCTATTGTAGATACAATATTATTTAATAAATAAAATAAATAAATAATTGTGTTTTCGCCCTAAAAAGGGCCATCCGCCAAGTTTGGACATCATATTCGTGTTCAGAACCCAGAAATACATAAAAAACTAGTCATCTAGGTTAAAATCGGGATATAGTCAGTATTCTTCATATTGAGATAATTGCATATTCAATATAGAAGAGACTTGTCCCTGCGATTACAAAAAATCTAAAAGATGAAAATTTTTTTATTATTCAAATTTGGTTTCAGCATATCAAAATCTATAGGAAATGACACATCTGATATAGAAACCAATAAAAATATTTTTGTCGACCTGTGTTATTTAGCGTAGGGGTTTAATGATTTAAAAATGTTTCTTTTCAGTGACAGAAATACCCTATAACTATAGAAATAAAGTAACTAAATTACTCGAATTAATAATTATAGACATTATTTGAAAGATTTCATACTGAACTTTGTTATAAATAAATAATGACAAAAGAAACGATAAACCCAAAAACAAAAAGTAAAGTAGGTTCCTACTTAACATCGTTCTCAAAATTTGAAGTCAACATTCCAATTTCATAAAAAGACATTATTCCAATTCTGAATATAAATACGAATAATATAAATTAGGTACACAGCCCCACCTCTGTACCAGAGACATGAGTAGGTATATAAATTGTGAGTATTTTTTTATGCTGAACCCGAATCCGTAGGCCACAAATCTATTTACTAGGTACTTTTTTAGTAAAACGCTAAAACATACCCAAGCTAGAGTTAAATAGTGAGGAGAAGTTAAGGCTTTATAATGAAATGCAACAATTTGTAAATACTTTGAGAAACCATTTTAAAATAATATTTTGAGCCTTAGAAACAATAATATGCAAATTAAATCGACCCACCCCCGCGAGGGGGTATTAATTCTACCCCTAAGATCAAATAACGAATGTAATGCAAAACAATGTGAAAAAGCATAGCTTTGTATTTTATACGAACCAAATATTGAATAAATGTTAAGTTGACAGACAACAAAAAAAAATAACTTATCCCTCAGAGGGTTGGAACTACCAACATATCACAATCCCACTTACCCCTTTAAGTCACACATTTTTCTAGTCAATATTTTTGCCTGAATTTTGTTACCGCGGATTTTTGGGATAACTGATTGTGAATCTGTCCGAATACGAAAATTCTTGAATTAAAGATGACAGACGTAAAAATTGAAAAAGCCATATACTCGTACATATGTATATACCTATATACAGGATGTCCCGCCTAAGCACCGACACAGGGCAGGTGCATGTACGGGTGTCCAAAATATTGTAATTTAACCAAACTTATACCTATATATAAAGTTGTACCCCTGAGGAATTGTTAGCCCCCAAAGTGGGGACGTAAATTTCGAAAAAAATTAATATCTCTGCAATACTTTACCGTAGAAGAACCAAATTTGGTACATGATTTAGGTTTACTCTTGGTCTTCTTTGACTATGATTTAAAGTTAATTGAAACACTATAAGGTGTTCATTGGGGATGACTCACCCCATTTCTTTCATTGACCGAATTGAAAAATAATATTAATTCACAGCAGAATTTAATTTTAATTATTTTTTACTCCTGTTAAATTTTAAATAACTTTATGGTTTTCAAGAAAACCCGTATTAACTGATACAAGATTTTAACAGTGGTCATGACAAATTTTAAGACGGATGTTAAGTAGGTACCTACTTTATTTTTTGTTTTTGTGTTTATCTTTTCTTTTGTCATTATTTATTTGTAACAAAATTCAGTATGAAATATTTCAAATAATGTCTGTAATTATTAATTCAAGTAATTTAGTTACTTACTTTATTTCTTTAACTAGGTATTTCTACAACATAGAAAAGAAATTTTTTTAAATCGATAAACCACCTACGCTAAATAACACAGGCTGATAAAAATATTTTTTTGGTTTTTATATCAGATTGGGCTGCGAATTCGGATTCAGCATAAAAAAATTTAGTCATTCATGCCTCTAGTACAGAACTTTTTTTGTGTGGCTATGTTGTAATTAACGGAGAAGTACAATTTACTACAATTAACAATTACTACAATTTAAATAATAATTGTATTAGTTTGAATTCAAGAATAAGGGAAATTAAAATGTATTAATGTTTAATTAAATGAGTATTTGTACATACAAAAGTTAAAAATTTTTACTATATTACTTCATAAATCTGCAAACACCACATTAAAATCACATCACATTATTGTCACGTTTATCTTGCATATATTATAATGTTATAATTCTGTAGTTAATTAATTAGAAGCTGCAATAAAAAATAGTATGTATTGTAAGTGCAATATTTTCTTTACACTTTCGGTTGATGTAATATTTGTCTAACATTAGTTAGTTAAATTTGACATCTAAATGAGGTTAAATTACTTAGCACATACTGGAAGTATTAACTTTTTGGCAAAGAGTGGTGGGTATAAATAGCTGATAAATTAGTGATATTTTCAGTATCATTAATTGTCTTACTTATTGACAAATACAGTGCAATTGGAATAATATGTTTCTCTTTTCGGTAAGAACGATATTTTACTTGTATAATTCAGTGAAAAGTAAATTTGAATACAGGTATTTGAAGTACCTACCACATATTAGATAAACGATAAGTGTAAGAATTTTTCTGATAAAGAAAACCTTGCTCCGATAAATATTCAATATTTAATACACATTTTGCAAATATTTTGATTTATTGTAACCTTTATAAATAAAATTACGTTAAATAATAGGGATGCGAGACTGTAGATTAATTAAACAAAAAATCTTTAAATGTATGCCATAAATGAGCTCTGAAAATAAGAGTTCGGTCGAAATAATACACGTCATCATCAGTAAATACCAGAATTTCGATGCCACTGAATATTTTAGAAATCCAATAATTTTATTCCTAATTGTATTTCAATGAAAAAGGACTTCTTGTGCTTTGCCTAACCAAAAACTCTCACGCTGAAAAAAGTAGACAAATACAAATTACAAAAACACATCACTGTATATGGCACACTCTAAAAATTAGTGAACGTTTCAATAAATTCCCAGTTTTCGTTTTCTAAACTTTTTTATTTTCCTTTTTAGTTACTTTGGTAGTTTGCTTTTGTCTGTTCCATAGCTACAGATATCATATGATGTTTTTCCATTATTACTTATTTCGTCTTTTAGAATCTGCAGCCAACAAGAATCAAGTTCATAGAATAGTTTGATACACATCTTTCACCATTCGACAAATAATCGCAGTTTCTTTTAATTTTCTTTTAAATGTACAATTTTCACTTTCCAAAATTTTAGCCGAACCCCATTAAATATTATAATCGTTTTCCCAAGCGTGATCACAAATTTTAGATGTTTTAAATTCTCGTTTTTTAATATAACTTTTGTGTTCATCTATAAATATGTACTCACAAGTCAGTTTGTTGAATTTTGAAAATCATTATTTGGGCGCGTCTTTGACAATAGATTTCGTAAGGTATTGGTTGTCTGAAAAACTGTTCTAATGTAAATATATCAATAGGAACTTTAAAATTCATAGAAAAAAAAATTAAAGAAATGTAAATACAATTTTAAAAGTAACCTTCAAAAACTGAAATGTAATTTTCATAAATTGCTTAAAGACTATATTTGTCATCACGATGCGTAAATTTACGTTAACTTTTCTTTATGCGTCTTATTATAGAAAAAAAAACTTAGTTCATCATATGGCTATAATTAGATTTGATTCATAAAAATCGTAGGTGTCATATAAATTCAAAGCAAACATGTAGGAGTAGATCAGTGACATTAACTATTAACTAAGCAGAATATGTTGACATTGTTGTATCTCATCATCATATAAGTCTGACGTACCTCTACCTGTAAAAATATAATTTGTTAAGTAAACATATTGTGTTAAAAGGAACTTGATACCCTTGTACATATTTATTTAATTATCTATTACATAATGTCGTTTTTAAATCTTTTGTAACCCTCATAAATAATCAATATCATTGCTTGTAATTATTTGTTTATGCAAAGTTTTCTCTCTCTGCTTATTTGGGTATTTCGCCACCCTTGCATAAGGGTCGGCCAAGGGTTGTGTCAATGAAGTCTGTTATATTTTCAAAACATGACAGTTTATACCTACTTAATTTGTTCAATTGCTTCAATAGTTAGCAGTAATATTAGGTACCATTTACAAATCCTTTCATTGTCAGCACACACAAATTTTGGCCGGAATCCACTGAATTTTAATCATTTTCTCAAGAGTAATTTACAGGTATCCAACATAATAACGTTTATTGAATGCCCAAGGCATAATATCATACATAATTTCAGTTTTAAAAAATGGTGTAACTTGCCTGGAAAACTTTTCTTGTGTTGAGTTATTCATTGTTTAAAATTTTCTGATAATATAGAAATATAGAAAATATTTTATTGTACTTATGTGCAACTGAAATTTGTTTTTCACACATAATTTTTTATATATTAAAAACTTTACCACAAAGTTTATATTATACAAATATTTATTAGTGCATTATTAAAAGTATCATGTATAGAAAAACATTTGAACTATATCACATAAAAATTTTGCCTTTCTTTACATTTTTATTTTGATATTTATAAGTGTGGAATGATTTTCTATAAATATTTACTTATAAAAAATTTTATATTTTTTTGTTTGTTTATTATAAATGATATCTAGAAATATGCAGGGCCATTAACCTGACAAAGTACAATGACTATGGTATGATCTGCATTTGAAAAAATCAAAAAATGTCCTTTGAACTGCATATTGGCACATCTATAGAAAATACTGCATAAACTGCATAAAATATTCACTGTCTGATGGATCTGGACATTTTTATTGACAAATATCCAATTTTCACCACAAAATACTCTTTTCTACAGAAGATTCCTCAAAATGTGCTTTAAGAAAAAAATTATTTTAGAATAATAAACTATCACCGAAATATAGCAATAATTTTATTATTTTCTCAGAATTGCATCTAGCCTAAGACTTTGAAACTTCACATTGAATTTATTATCGTAAAATAGAAGCATTATATTAATGCAAATATTGAACTATATACATATGTCTAAATTCATAAAGCATACTTGATTCCCCAAAACTAAAAACGTAGCACAATTAATTTTTAACCAAGTAGCACCAAAACGTTATAAGTTGAAACAATCTTGAAAATCTAGATAATTTTAGGTAGTCAATTAAATTAATATACAGGTTCGGACTGTCCCCATCGGCCGTTACGTGAGAGCGATAAAGTAAGTCATAGAAATCCGTGCGATAGACAAGGATGGTTACATTGAAAACCTTTCATAAAACTGACTGAATACTCACTCCCACTTCTATGAAACGTCTTCACTATAGCCATCCTTGTCTATCGCACGGATTTCTATGACTTACTTTATCGCTCTTACGTAACGGATGTACCATGGGGACTTTTCGAACCTGTATATATAATCTTTTACCTCAACAAAGAGTATTTTTTATTTTATCTGTTATCTAGAAGAAAATGTTATTTCTGTACAACACTGATTAGAAATATTTTTTCAGAAACAGCCAATGCGGTTAATAAGAATATAACTATCGTACCATTAGAGTTTGCTGTTTCACTTAGGTACTAATCATACTTTGTATGCAACTGCATCCAACTGCAGCAATAATCAGTTGTCAGATCAGTTAGTATTCTGTCAGTAGAATTATGGAAAATACCAGTCAGGGTAGATTCTTGATAACTTCAAGAGTGGCTCTGATAATAATTATTGTAACTTATCTTTTCAAAGACATTAATGTTTTATTATCATCAAGGCTTATAGATTGCGAACGTAATTTGTTAGTATATTTATTGGTTTTCTACGCTACGATATTTTCCTAATATCTACGTTTTTTTATTATATATCATTTAAGAAAAAGGCTAAGTTGTGGTACATTCAATAGGTACAAAAATTGTGGTAAATATGTAACTTTAATAAACTGATCAATTAAATATTAAACACAGTGAACTAATTCTAATTTATGGCCAATTTTCGTGATTTTAGTGACTTAGATTCGATAATACCTATAAGTTTTAGTTTATCCCAGTTTGTGGTGTGTTGTTGTAATAATTGACCACTCAATATGAATGGTCAATTTCCTGCAACAACTAAAAGAGTGCACAACTGACTAGTTTATTGGGTTCAAAACTAATAAATGTAAAACGCATTTTAGATATTTGACTATTAAAATTTCCAGTTAATAATAAAAAGAGTAAATGATAATTTTATTTGTTAATTTTTGTCACCTAAATATTATTCGACGCGTTGATTTGATTGGTTGGTAAATAGGTAAATAAGACTTTTTTGTTACAGCTCATCATTTCTACCCATTTGGCTGTAGCCTTATCGAGGCCACAGGAATCTGTGGCAGCTGCCGGGCAGTCCGGATCTACACCAATTGCTATCATTAGCCAAAATGAAGAAATCAACCCTGACGGTAGCTTTAAATTTAGGTACGTCCAAATCAAGTAAAAGTTAAAAAAGAATTTTGCAACACTACATATATTAATCTGATTTATGTGACATTTGTATTAAACATTTACTTCTATTGCCACAAATAACTGCAGTAACAAAATAAAAATGGAACAACCTCTATATTTCTATATAACGCATTATTATGATTAAGGTTTGATCAGATTGACTATAAGATAGCAGAAGAGATAATAGAACTAATATCAATTGGCACAATCATGGTCATATTTCCCTTATTATTAGACACAGATTCTTTAACCTTTATCATTGTATTCAACTATATAAATACATACAGGATGCATCATCTAAATAATAGTCAACTTATTTTGACACTTTTACGATGTACATTTGTTTGATCTAATACAAAATATTGATACTCCCAAAATATTCATATATTTTGATACTTTTTTCCACCCCCAACAATAACAGCTGTAGGTAGGGAGCAAAATATCGGAAAACGCATTGTATATATTAGCATGTTAGGCAAATAGTTACGTTTTAATAAATGTATTTTATATTCCATTTTTATTCATCAGCTATGAAACTGCAAATGGTATTAAAGTGGATGAAACTGGATATTTGAGGGACGACCCAAGTTCTACAGATAAAATACAAGTAATTGAAGGATCCGTTTCGTATACAGACAATGATGGAAAAGTTATTTCATTGAGGTATAAGAACAATAATAATTATGAACTTACATTTCACATATGGATAGTGCGTTCTTTTTAGAAATCTCACAATTATTAAGAATTTTAATCTAGGACAATTCTCTTATAGCTTATTTTCATCCATTTAGATTTTACGTTTTTGCAAATAATGAATCTGTTGAATGATTTCTTGTTCCGTATAATTTTTTGGGGAATTGGGTTCTAGTGTGATAGTCGATTAAAAATAAGAATAAAAGAAACAGCCGCGATTTCTTTCTTGATGTTTCGTTCCTGATCAGGAACTTTTTCAAAAGGCTTTTATTGTTAAAATTGTTATAGTTAGATAAAACCTAAAATACAAACTACCTACTAAATATTTAGAAACAATTTTTTATTATGTTTTAAATTGTTTCTAAATATGAAGTAATTTGTTTGTATTTTAGGTTTTATTTAATTAACTATAACAATTTTAACAATAAAAGCCTTTTGAAAAAGTTCCTGATCAGGAACGAAACGCCAAGCAAGAAATCGCTGCTATTTCTTTTCTCCTTTTTTTAGCCGACTATCACACCAGAATCCAATTCCTAGTAAAATAAATATATTTTAATATTAAACAAAAGGTTCAAGAAGATTTCCACGATACCTATATAGTATATATTTTTCGAAATTATTAAAAGTCTGTGGTTATGTTAGATATGTTTTTATTTAGTAGAAAAAGGGCGAAGTAAATTTAATGATTCTTTATCTATGACATTTAAAGGTATGTCGCCGATGAAAATGGTTTCCAACCAGAGGGTGATCACTTGCCTACACCTCCATCTCTTCCCTCAGGAGAAGCTCAAGCAAAAACCCTATCTCAACAACCATCAGCTTCTGTTCCAGTCCAGAAAGCGGCTGCTGCTCCAGTCCCGAAAATAGCAGTTGCTCCAATAGCAGCCATTGCCTCAGAACAACCAGCAGTGGTAACATCTCCAGCGATTGTTCCTACTTCTGAATCAGAGACCCAAACAACAGCATTGTAATAATAAATTTATCATAATTATGTATGAATATCACAATTATATAAATTATTTGCAATTTTTATAACGCTTTTATATTTTGTACAGACATAGCTTTTTAATTGTAATATATTATTTTTGTATTTTATTTATCTGTATTTATTTTCTAAATATTCTTGCATTTTAGAGAATCGATTTAATTTTCAAATTAATTAAGCAAATATATCATATGCACAATATAATGATAATGACCTACTAGACATATTTGTATGCCTTCAGGGGATATGGGTACCAATATATGGCGTAAATATTTAATGTGTAGGTACATATTATCTCTGATTATAATTTTCTAAAATTACAAATACCTATTTATGGTGACTATTTTTATTTCTGTTACCAAAAAACACCGAAAAAATGTAAGGGGTTATTCTCTGATGAAAATTAATAGGGGTCTTTCGTATAAAGTTACAGAAATTTAAAAAAAATAAATTTTTCTTTTTTATTTCCCATGTATATCAAGCTAAAGAAACCAAGCTTGGTGAACATTATCTGTCAAAAAAACTACACTTTTTGAAATTTTTACTGAAGTATTTTTCTACGGAGTTGAAATAACAGGCAAAATACACTCGCGTTAAACAGCTCATCTTTTTAAAAATGCATTGCAATACATTTTTTTGTCTCATAAATCCTTAACTTTTCGAAAAAACTTGAAGAGAACCAGAATGTAAAAAAAATATATTCATTTTGAAAATAATAATTGATCTATTTTCACAATAATTTGTAAAATCGTACACTTCATACTATATATAAAACAAATGGCTTTCATAGTTTAAGAAAAAATAAGTAAAACCCAAAAAAGTTTTTTCAAGGGTTTATACCTAAAAGTAAGCCTTTGGAAGAAAAGTGTATACTTCAAAATGATATTATCTTGACGCGATGGGGAAAGTCCTAATTATAAAAAGTGGATTCACTCTGTATAGTGTGTCCCGGATGGGATACCGCACTATTATAAACTTTTTTATTGTTGATTTTCGAGAAAATACTATTCTTGGTAAAAAGTTTTACTTATCTTGGGAAGACATGACTAATAATTAAATATAGTTTCCAAAAAATTTCAAAATGTGAAATTTTTCCTAAGCAAAGTGCCTTTAATCTTTGTTTTCATTAAAAACTGTATTTAACAAAGTTGTTAGAGAGCCCAAGAAATTCTTAAATATGGGTTTTAGTCAGAAAAGAACAATAGGTAATCACATTTTGCAAATGAAAAGACCTTGTAATTTTTTACTATTTTACTTACCATATAATTACCATGGATATTTCCTTATCAATGTCAAAGTCAACATATTTATTTTTATTAACTGTCCACCCAATAATTTTTATTAATAATGGAGCAACGAATTTATCTTGTGAAATGTTATGGAATCGATAATGTTTCATATCGATCTGCAATACAAGTTTTTAATGAAAAGTATCAAAATGTAACTGTAACTGAAGACAATCCTCATATTTAAAGAATTTTAGTATACAACAAAATACATATATCCATTCAAACCAGTGTTTAATTATAAATTGCTTGATGATTATGGTCGTCGTTTGGACTTTTGTTTAACAATGGGCGAGAAACTATTTGACAGATTGAACAGATTCTTTCATCACAATATTTTATTTACTCAACATCAACGTTAACAACTAATGGCGTGGTTTCCTCTAAAAATTGTATATACTGGGTTTAAAAAAGTAGGTAAATGTCTGGTGTGGCATAATGTATCATAAAATAATTGATCATTTTGGAAGAAAACCTTAATCAAAATTCGCATTTTGAAAATTTTCAATAATTTTGTTTTGGCAGAACTAGATAGCGAAAATTTACGTAGAGTTTAGCAGAAAACTAATATTTCAACAAATGTTATCAAACGATTTTGACGATAACTTTGATCTACTTAAGCAAAAAATTCAGGAAAAAACAGAAAAAACAACCCTTTAAAAGACTGCTACCTTGACGTGGTAAAAGAGCTTATATAAATAAAGATAACGAATCTTATACACCAATGCAAACAATTAAAGGGGATTTCCGAAATTTTTCCGTGATTTTTGACAGACTGTATTTAGGTGAAAAATTATCGTATCGAGAATTAAAAAAAAAAGCATTTTGAAGGGCAGTTTCGAAAACTGCAATAAATTTCCTATAACATGATGCCGTAACATTTCGGAAATTTTTTTTCATCTTTTACAAGAATTTTAAAAAACAGGAAAAAAGGGTAATTTATGGGATTCTAGAAAATTGACGGCTAAATTAGAAATATTCACGAAATGACTAACGTTATGCTTGACTTTTACAGTTCGATATACCCAGAAGAACCTTGTGAAGTTTCATCTCGATCTAGAGAACCGTTTCTTTGTTTCAAACAGTCAAACTTTGAAAAAAAATTAAACGGTCACATTTTGAGCTTAAACACTTCATAATCATGATTAAAATGAAAAAAAAAATTTTTTTGAGGTTTTCTCACGTTTTTACCGCAAATAATGTTTAAATTGGTGAAAAAAAAAAATTCGAGTTTTTTTTTGTTTTTTTTTTTTCGAAAAAATTTCCAGACATTGAAGAAAACAAAATCCAATTGTTTCCATCACGATTCGACTTTTTCGTCCCGTTCTGTTCATCAACTTTTAATTAAATTAAAATTAAAGTTTATGACCCAAACCAGATTTCGACCCCGATTCATACCATTTTTTGAGACAAATTTCTAATTAATTTTTGTGCACTTTTTTTCATCAATTTAAACCTTATTTGCGGTAAAAATGTGAGAAAACCTCAAACAATTTTTTTTTCCATTTTAATTACGATTATGAAGTGTTTAAGTTCAAAAAGCATAACCCTTTAATTTTTTTGAAAAGTTTGACTGTTTGAAACAAAGAAACGGTTCGCTAGATCGAGATGAAACTTCACAGGATTATTCTGGGTATATCGAACTGTAAGTCATGCTTAAACATTAGTCATTTCGTGAATATTTCTAATTTAGCCGTCAATTTTCCAAAAAACCATAAATTACCCTTTTTTCCTGTTTTTTAAAATTCGTGTAAAAGATGAAAAAAAATATATATTTCCGAAAAGTTGCGGCAGCATGTTATAGGAATTTTATTCCAGTTTTCAAAACTGCCCTTCAATTTTCTGTACGACCATTTGTCGCCGAGATATCGATGATTGAAGACAAAAGGATCCTTTTCCATTAAAAGTCCGATATTTCGAGGAAAAAAGGTTGTATCGAAATTAAAAAAAAATAAAATTGAAGCAGAATAAACAAGCTATCTGGTCTATGCAATGGCTTAACTGAAAAAAAAAATTCCAAGTTAGTGGACTGAAGAAAAAAAAAATTGCAAAATTTGTTTGTCGCGCTATTTCCTAGAATTGCATGATAACCGTAGCTCCTAAAAAATTTCGACCGAAAGATCTAAAAACTAGAATCTTAGAGCTTCAAAATGCTTTTTTTTTTAAATTCCCGATACGACCACTTTTCACATATAATCTCCCTAGTGCTTGAATTATTTCCGGAAATTTTTCCGAAGTAATGCATTTTCTAGAAAAATGCGTGATTGAGGAAAAATTTCCGGACATATTAATTCAAGGACGTGGGGGATTCGGTAAGAAAATTTTATAACCAAAATTTATTTTAAAAAGGACCCCGCACAAATCTTATGGAAATTGAATTTCGGTCAAATTATTTGAAATTTTCAGAATAGTTTCTTGAAGTCATGCTGAGAAAAAGTCTTCATGGGCACAAAGTGCCAAGATGCTCCGGAGCCGAGATATGAGCGATGGGAAGTTGAAAAACGCGTTTTTCATATCTCAGGCTCCTATAATCGGTTTTACGGCATCTAAACATTTTCACTGCAAAAAAACGTATAACTCAAATCATACTAACGCATTTTCTACAAAAAAAACTATTTTTGAAGTCATTCCATACCTAAGAACGTTGAAATCTGACAAAAATAGGCTTTTAAAAACGTTTCGTTATTTTTTTTCTCTGATTAATATTCAGTATTATAGTTATAAGAGTTATAATACTTAATATTCAGTCTAATAGAATATTATTATATTGTAAAAAACCAAGTCCCATTCTCAGCTGAACCCAAGATGAACGACGTGGACGTGATGGGAGACTCATCTCATTGGGGTGCTTGTTTATCGTGAGTCCCCTTGCCTCTCACTAGTAGATATCTTTTATAGGCTAGACGGTGGAGATAAGGACTCCACGGTTCGTCACTCCCGAAGTATTTTCGGGACTCCAAACCCNTAAAATAGAAGGAAAGTAAGTTTTTGTGGAAAACCGATGTCTATGGCAATATATCAATGATTCTTAAAAAATCATAACTGCAATCAAGTAGGCTTAGGCTTGTGATGTCAAAATCGTCTTCGCTATACGTCACGTTGACAGTCATTTTCTCTAGCTTCTAATTTTTTACAATTAAATCATGGCAGTGAACAACCAAAAAACTAATTTAAAACCTTATAGTATATGTTATTCCCCCACCCAAATAGGGGACATTCTTATGTCTCATAAAATATTTGAAGTATTTGCCAAATTTACTGAAAAAAACTGGAATCAGTCCGCATCAAGAAAACCTTTTCGCAGCTATTCAAAAGATTTTGAAGGAATATATTCCATCTTTTTTACGTAAAACCAGGGCTCAGCAGAACAAAATTTAATCAAATTATTATATATGTTTTATGAAACACAGACATCTAATGGAAATGAAAAACAAAGGTAATAATTATGCTCCTCGTTACTCTCCGTTGCGAAGAGAAGAGTTCCAGCCAGAATTTCAAAAACATTTAGCGTTAATAGAAGAAATCTCGGAACAAATATTTGGTAAATAATTATTTGTATCTATTTATTATTTTAAAATAAATAAAAACATTAAAGCAAAATTCTGGATAGGTACTGATTTTTGAACCATATGATAGCTGTCAAAAAAACAATTTCCACTTATTAATTTTGTTTGCCTAGCTTGGCAGGAGGAAAAAAATGTCCGAAAAATTTGATGGTTGCCATGGGCAACTGTCGAAATTACAGTATGTAATTGGCTTAAAATGACAGGTG